AAAGGGCATATATTAGTAAAAAGCATCTTACATAAATGCATTATACCAGGGGGAACTGTATGTGTGTACAAACTGTGCGATAATGTGCATTCAGTGTTGGAAGGAGGTCCTGTGTCATCTCCACGTTGTCTCTCTCCCGCACTCTTCATTGCTCTAAAATGCATTCTTCTGGAATGCTTATAATCTCTTTTCTGCCAGTAAAGTACTTTACAAGCACTGTTTTGCCTACATGTGCACACAGAAAGTGCTTCCACTGGGTATCTCCTATTGGGGCAGACCTGCTGCTGTTACAGGGCTGTGCTACTCCCCATCACAATGTTTAATTTGTCTATGGATGAAATAGGCAATATAGGAAGTGGTACAGTAACTTAGCCACCTCTGTATATTAGTATATCCACACAGCATTTTCCAGGCCCTCTCTTTCAAAAGACTGCAAAATTAGTTGTTGGTTTTTTTAAAGGCTTGTGGAATTGTTTGTTTGTTTGTAATAAGGTATTCACTTTTAAAGGCTTTAGATTATGGACACAATTTGGCCAATGTTAAGTGCTCTTGGGCAGTGCTTTTTCTAGGGCTTACTCAAGAGTAAGCAGTACCAGCACCTCTTTTGTTGTTGTCAAAAAGTGTGGCACTTACTGTAACAACTTCATGGTGAGTACCGACACTTATTTTTCTAGGAAAAAAGCACTGCTCTCGGGTCTTCTGATGCCCATGCAAAATTCAGTATGAACTTAAATCTGTCCTATTCCAACAATGAGATGTAAAAGTAGCTTCTATTAGTTTTGCATTGAGGGTTTTGTGTGTGATGGGATTTTTTTGGTACCATGTTGAAATAAAAGAGAACTCTGGGATAATTTATGCCATTCATTTCCATCAGTCTTGCATGAGAACTGCTCCTCTAGTGAATTGCACTTATATGTAACTTCAAGCAGACCTGCTTACAGAGTACAGAAGTACAGTAGTACAATAGGCAGCAAATGTTGCCTGTGTACAGAGGCAGCTTCAACGGGCCTTAGTGGTTCAGAAATGCCGGCACGCTGCCAAGCCTTATGCAGGGAAACATTTAACACCTTTATAACTCGGCTAAATCTGGATGGAATTATATGGGGCAAAGAAAAGATTCTACTGTAGCCAGAGGGACATGGGGAATTCCCTCGAAGAAATATCAAAAACAGGCTGCGTTTAGAATACAAAAAGATCCAAACTATAAAAGTGTGTGTGTGTACACTCAGAAACATACACACAGAGAATGGTATGATGTTAATATTAATCATCACCATTATTAATAATAATACAATTTTTTTTATATAATGATAGAGAACACCATTTGACTGCTGGCTGTGCCCACAAAATCTGCTTCAGAGGGTCCCCTAACCATCTGATAGGGATGTCAAAAAATTATGATGGAAATGGAAAAGGAGATTGTCAAGGTTCACTGATTTGTCCTATATCCAGAATGGAAGTCAGTCCAGCAAACATAATCAATATTCTCAGTCCACAAAGAACATGTAATTTATAATTTCATCCCATTTGCACTGTGCTTCCTTTGTGTTGAAATGACTGGTGTGGAATAACATAATGTTAATGTAATTAATAATGTAAACTTCCACTATGGCAGAAAACAAGACCAATAATATAGGTTTTTTTGTCGGAAGCTGTACTGCACTGGAAAGGAAAGACTGCTGCATGCAATGAATAAAAATCAATGTATTCATAAATCTCTATTTTCTAGAGCCAAATTTGAGAGTTCTGAGGTGATGGGGAAAGAGAGACTAGAAGAGGCAGGAGGGAAATAGGAATTTTTTCCCTGCTCATATGGAATTCTGTTTCACAAGCAGACCTGCAGCATTGGATAAAGCCAATTAGGAATATTACAGACTGGAAAGGGTGACCCATAGATCTTGCTGGGGGTTTTTTGTGTGGTTTTTTTGATAGAAATCATACTGGCAGAAAAAAATTAAATCATAACTGATCAGAAAATCAGGTATTAAAAATGGGAGCAGGGATCCTTTTCATGCTATGGAAACCAATAAGAAGCATAGGAGGTACATAGTTCATAGGTATAGCAAAAGCGTGTCTGGATAAAATTGGTAAAACAAGGACACAAACTCAGTGTACCTACTTTGGAAGATATTAGAAAACACAGAAAGAGGCTTTACAAACAATGCTATCAGTAAAAGGAAAACAAAGGATCCGTTGGGTCAGCTCAGAAGGAAAGACACAGCAGAGCATTAACAATAAGCTGAACTACTTAATGCTTCTGATGCCCTGCAGAAAGGGAAACATGCAATGAGACTGACAGAACAGTGGCAACAATGGAGATGGGGAAAGGTCACAGTTCTATATAATGAAGGAGCATGTCAAGGAATATTTCGACACACTGAATGAATGCAAGTCGGTGGTGCCTCATGACATTGGTTATTTAACCAAGAGACCTGGAGGAGTTAACTGGGTGAGTCTCAGAATATAAGAACTCATTAAAAAAAGGCTTGTTGATTGTATTGCTCTCACACTTACTGCCCAAAATCTCCTCGCAATAGCTTCTGAACAGCAATGTTCAGAAGGTCTTCCAGCACAGACTGTCTTCGCTGTATTGGGTGGTCACACCCTGACTCCATATTTCTGGGCACAGGCTCTGGTCAAGTCTCCTTTTCTGCCAGGGACAGAACTGGGACAACCAATCACAGAATCTCAAGCAGGAAACTGTTGCAGGTTGCATCAGGTCTGCCGGGAAGAAGACTCTGTGAAGCAGTAGTGATTAGTAGAACTGTGCATGTGGGGCTGCATTGCTGATCCAGCTTCCAAATGCCAAGAGCCACTGCCCGTTACTGAGACAGAGGAAATGCAAGGCAGTGGGGAGCAGCTCAGGGCAGGTACTGCATCAGAGCAATCCAGTTTTCCTGGTGCTGCCATGCCAACCTTCCTGATGCTTTGCCCCTCTCTCTTTCAGTAATTGGCAACGGCGCATGGTGTTGGGAAACCAAGTCAGCAGCACAGTCCTGCCTGCACTGCCCCACAAGGCAGTACAGTGGTACCTTGGGTTAAGTACTTAATTTGTTCCGGAGGTCCGTTCTTAACCTGAAACTGTTCTTAACCTGAAGCACCACTTTAGCTAATGGGGCCTCCTGCTGCTGCTGCACCTCCAGAGCACGATTTCTGTTCTCATCCTGAAGCAAAGTTCTTAACCTGAGGTAATATTTCTGGGTTAGCGGAGTCTGTAACCTGAAGCGTCTGTAACCTGAAGTGTATGTAACCCGAGGTACCACTGTACTGCACTGGAGGCCTCAGGGGGCCTTCTCCTCAGTGAAATGAAGGGGATAACAGGGGATTCTGGGATGAGAAATCGCCCAACTGTTGCAGGTAACGTTCTGGGTCATTGGATAGCAGCTAAAGGGAGAGGTGGTTCTGGGCGCTTTTCACGAACCATCTGGCTTTTTCTCAGGCATTTGTAACAAAGACTGGGATCAGAGGCGTAGGAAGGGGGTTGTGGTGGGTGCGGTCTGCCCTGGGTGTCATGACTGAGGGGGTGACAAAATGGCAGGCGGCACAGTTTGTGCCCGCCGGCAGCCGCTCTTCTGACCCGGTGGCAGAGAGCAGCCCTCCTCAGCCATGGTGAGGTGCATCCGGTTGCAGCAGCTCCGTTGCCGGGTCATGTCTGACCCAGCTGTGGAGAGCAGGAGGAGAGTGAGCAACAGCTTCCCCACCCCTCTCCTACCCTGAACTGTGGCACCCTGCTCCCCTCAGGAGTGCCCCCGTGCCCCACCCCCCTTGGGAGCGCACCCACCCTGGGCAGCACGGGCATATGCTCTGCCGCTGACTGGGATACTCAAGCCTTTGCAAATGAATAAGTTGAATTTTCACAAAAAACATGAAAAGGATCTCTAACTTAGATTGCTGTTGTGTTAGGTAGGCAGGCAGGCAGGTATGTATGTAGGTAGGTAATTATTGGATTTCCATCCTACCCTTCTTCCCAAAGGAGCCAAAGGCAGCAAACAACAAAGCAATGAAAATACAAAAAATACAAAAAACATTTCCAACAAACCAACTATCCTCGCAACTAATGTTGTATCCAGTGCCGCTGTTATGCTTATGCAGCATATTTCTGCTTGCGCAACATAACTTGCCCATTCCCTCACTTCCTGCAGCCCCCTGTGCATTCTCAGCATCTGCTCCAGAGCATATTTGGGGGTGGGTCACACAGGGAGAGGCATGGAAAGGGAAGTTCTGTTGCATAAGTGGAATGTCCCTTGAACAGCATTGGATACACCCAGTGCTTTTTTTCCCCTTAAAAAAATGTTTAGGGGTACTCTTATATTGAAATATTGCCCCTCAATTAGGCCAAACTTAGATTCACAAAATGTTTAGGGGTATGTGTACCCCTGTGTCCCCCCAGAAAAAAGCACTGGATACACCCCCACATTGCCAGATAAATTAATGGCTTTACTCAGTATAAGCCAGGGGTAGGCAACCTATGGCCTGGGGGCCGGATGTGGTGCAGTCACCTTCTCAATCCGGCCCACGGACGGTCCGGGAATCAGCATGTTTTTACATGAGTAGAATGTGTCCTTTTATTTAAAATGCATCTCTGGGTTATTTGTGGGGCAAAGGAATTCGTTCATTCGCCCCCCCCCAAAAAAAATAGTCCAGCCCACCACATGGTCTGAGGGATGGTTGACTGGCCCACGGCTGAAAAAGGTTGCTGACCCCTGGTATAAGCAGTTTCACATGTTCATATAAAACAAGGAGAACAAATAGGGTGAATAAATGGTATACTGTAGTTCCCAACTATTCAGCTGCAAAGTAAATTGGACTAATATGATCTTCATGTTGTAAACAAGTAATACAGGTGAGATGGTGGTAGGGCTTCCTGTGTTAGCTGTTATTAATGGGCTTAAGCATTAATTTGGTTCTAATTGGTCTAGCATCTCATACGTAGAATTGTATGAAGTTGGAAGGGAGCACAAGGGTCCTGTAGTCCAGTTCCTTGCAATGTAGGAATCTTTTGCCCAATGTATGACTCGAACCCACATCCCTGAGATTAAGAGTCTCATGCCCTACTGACTGTACTCTATACTTGAGTTATGACTTCAAAACACACAATTCCTTTGGCAAGAATGGCTTAGGTTGCACAAGGTGATTTTATTTTATTTCATTACATTTATACCACCTCCTTTCTTCCACACAAGGTGGTGTACAAAAGGTTCCTAGGCACACCCCATCTAGGTACTGGTCAGATTCAGACCTGCAAAGTCTTGGCCTCACATGTCTTCAGCCACATCCTGAAATAGTCATGGTTTTCATAAGTATTCTGCCGTGAAGACAGGACAAATTAGGAAGAACCTAGACATTCAAACAGCCCAAGCTCTTCAACTGTGTGCCCCATTTTTACTATCTGGCTATTGACGTTTGCTAAAGAGGAACAGCCACAAGTGAAAATCAGTTTTTACTTCTCCCAGAGCATTGTTGGAGGTAAAGAAGAAACAGTCTAGACACGATAGTGGATTAAAAAGTAGCAACAAGAAGTTAGAGGATTATAACAGAAGGCAAGTATAATCTTCAAAATCCTTTGTTGGGCTTACCTTGTATCAGATGTCATTTCTTCTTCTTGAATACTTTCTTAAAGACAATGCCTTTGTTGATAGCCTTCCCCCAGCATTTGCTCAGGTACTTTGTTGGGGCTGGTTTGCGCTTGGCATATTTAGGTGTGGCCGCAGACTTGAATATCGGAAAGGAAATGCCAAAGACTTTTCTTCAACATCATGTCTGTTTACATTTTCCCCCTTCTGAAAAAGTGACGAGTTTAAACCATGAAAGAAAGCCCTAAAAATGCCCATACGTCATAAGAGGTAAGTGTCACACAAGTAGAAGCTTTATATTGTCATAGTGATGAGTTAATGCTCTGTTAAAGATGTTTGAACAGTCATAGCACCTTGGGCAGCGATCTTGTCAGGACCTATATAAACCCAAGTAAGGTCAAGCGCAATTACTGCTTCATTTGGCTGTCTTCAGAATGCTCAAGGTGCTACAGTAAAAGGATAAGCACACTCATTAGCCATCTTTATCAGTGCTGACCTCACACCCTTTTGCAGTGATACAGGAAATGACATTTCCTGGTGCAGGGTGAGATGTTGGATGTCATGGCTGCTTCCCTAGAATTCAGTGAATGTTGTATGTTCAGTCCCTGCCAGCTCTTTAGCATCACAATCATCTCTCTAAGGAAGCTGTTTCTACATTTCATTCACAGGTCATTGAAAGTGCTGGTGTATGTCTGTTAAACGTAGGGACTGGCAAATCAGTCAGTTTTCTGTTCTTATGTTCAGTTGCCCACATTTCCACATCAGTTTGCGATTTTAAAAACAAAACAAGAACAACCAGAATTTCTTTTCTTTCTTTTTTTTAAAAAACAGCAATTTAGGGCAAATTTTTCTAAGACACATAATTTTGTGTACAATTTTGCCTAATAAACACATTTTTTGCAAAGTAGTTTTCCCTAATAGAATTACTTTTTGCATTGTATTTTCCCCAATATATGGATTTTCATGCACACATTACCTTAATATTTATGCATTTTTGTACACATTACTTGGCTGGAGAACTCCACTGCCCAGTTTGGAGATGGGAAAATTTTGAAGAATGACTCTATTTCCAATTTGCATATTGATTCAGAAGGATCCATTCACTTTTGCCCAGGTAGGCGCATAATGTGACCCATGAGAGCAGCAAAGTAACCAGACTGTACAATGGTGATGGATGAAATCAGGCCAAATCTTTATTGACAGCAGCAGGCAGGGCAAGGGTAGGCATGGCATTGGGTCCCAGGATCAGTTCATCATTCCACAACCCCATGTTGATGGAATGGATCCACTGGGTTTGGATCACTCCAAACCTGTATGACAGGAGTCGGCCAGTGTTGACCTTACCATGGTGCAAGCCAAGCAAGGAAGGTGTCACTTGGGGACCAGGGTACAGATTCCAACCAGGCAGATACCAAACCCACGCTTGGGTTTGCCGTGGTCTTTCCTCCCCTCAGGCCCCTTATGCCCGCCCTATACTATGTTGATCCTGACCAATGCCATTTCCACCCTAATACAAACAGTGTTTTTCTGCCTAACAAAGGAAAGCCATAATTTCACTGAGGGAGAGGCGAAAAAACCCCAATCAAATGCCAGTCAGGTTGTGAGGGGGGAAAATCCTTTCTGGCCCTGTCAACTAATGACCCAAAATTGTTCAGTGAAGGTTCTAACCCGAGGGTGGGCGGCCAGGAAGCTCTCAAAGCAAAATGGCTGTGAGCTCCAGGGGAAGCAGCCTTATATAGGCTTTCCCCTCCCCTCATCAGCAAGGGCTCATGGGACAGCTTTTTCCCTGGAGCCCATCACACAGAGAAGATACCGGGCAAAAACCTTGCTCAGTATTTTGCTGCAGTCTATGGGCCATAGCGTCGCTGGACAAAGGCACCCCGTGCTTATTGGGTACAGAACAGGGCTTAAATGCAAACTGAATCAAATCCCCCCTTGAATCGCTAGTAAAAAGCAGCACCAAGAGTTTTAAATAAGTGAATTATGCCTTGTCTATGGTAAGAAGGCCTCTTTAGGTATTGTGCCTCTCATAATTGCGCCCCCTTTCCCCCGACAGCATATTTCCTACCACTGTGCTTATATGTTGGAGGACATTCTGAAATGCACCACCTGATCTAAGTCTGAGGTCAACAGGGGTAGCATGGAATCCTCTATTGCTTTACACAACTGTAATTCCTTGAGACTTAAAGCCTGCAGAGAGATAGAAACTCTTCCTAAAAACCACCCCAGTGTTAAAAGAAAGAAAATGCTAGATGAGCAATGTCACTGCTAAATACTAATGATGGAAAATGGAGAAAATATAGGCATATAACATTAAAACAGCCATTTGTAATGTATGTTTTGTCATAACTTTTCACTAAGAGAGCTTTTGAGGTGACTGTCTCTGTGGGTTGGGAGTTGGAAGCCTTTGTTTACATCTGGATCAGTCTATGCAGAAAATGGAGCTGTGTAAGCTGGACAAAGATTGGTCTACTTGACCCAAACTACAAGATGTTTGAAAGGAGGTGGCTTAAATTTGTCAATGTTCAAATAACAGAACAGAGCAAGAACATAAGCTCAAAGTTCTGGAAGTGATTTACAAAACCCTATACAGATTGGGACCAGGTAATGTTATATACCCAACTGATCACTGAGCTCTGTAGGAGAGGGCCTCCTGCAGATACAATCTCATCAGGTCCATCCTGAGTAATGTTTAGGTGCAAGTACTTCTACTGAAACTTCCAGAGTTGCATTGTGCTTCTTCCTTCCATTTTCTTCTATGACGGGAACCCACACAGATCAGTGGACCATCCTGTTTACGTTGTTATACTAAGTGTAAAGGCACAAGGAAAGCTTTATGTTTTTGCATGTTTTTATGTTCTGTGTGATATTTAATTTGTGACTTTGTCATGGTGTTTCTTCCCATCCATTTTATCCATTTAAAATTCAAACGAGCTGTAAACTGTAACTTTTTATTACAGAAAGATGGACAACTTGCAATTGAGTTAAATCTTTGCAGAGACTAAAACTTGTTGGTCATCTTATTGCTTACTTTCCTAATGCCACAACAACTTATTTCCCCCCATTTTCTTTCTTTTCAAGAAGTGCTTATATGTTTTAAACTATAACTTTCACTTTGGAGAGCTGTGGGATGATTTAGCACGCACCTTTTAACAATGATGACTTCATTCGACATGAATTAGAATGTGGGTTTCTAAGCTCAATAGCACTTGCATTCTGCATGTTATACATGAAGCCTAGCTTGTCTGCCCTGTGAAATGAGTGAATCTGAACACATTAATCATAATTATTAATTTGAAGGCTGTGACATCCACTTGAAAAGAAATAAACAATGGCTCTTCTGTAGCATGAGTAATTTCAGCCCAGTAAAGAATTGTTTTGATAATGCAAACCAGAAATTGCTGAGGATGTTGAACATACATTGGGCCATTTCACACGGGGTGTGTGCGTGTGTGTTCTACTTTGCAACTTACAGACACAATTTGGAGACTGGAATCATTTGTTACAGATCACACATTTCTACAAGCATTTGTCAGGTTGCTGTTGTCTCATTTTCTTTTCTTTTTTTGGTTGTATCAGACAGTTAAGGAAAAGGTTGGTGCTAATGGAAAAAGATTGTTATGTGAGGGCAGTCATTCTCGGACAAAGCAGAACTTCAAAGAGGAAGCACATATGGTTTTGACTTCTATAAAGATGGCAGGTGGACATGAAAAAGGTTGATTTCAAAATTTATTTTCATGATAGCAGGAACTTCTTAAAAGTCCAGGGGGAAGATTAATTTTCAATTTGGAATTCCTAATAACTGAAACAAGATCATGGTTTTACAACTTCCTGAGGTAGAGTTTGAGAGAGGCTAGGTCATGTTGATATAATAAACCAGTGGTAGGATAAAATGTAAGAGCCCAGGGTAAGCAATGTTTGGGGAAAGCTGTTCTAAAAGCAAAGCATATGTAAAGGCCAAGTCATTCCATTATTCTTTCCCCTGTAATATACCTTGAACAAAAAACAGACAAGTTCAAATGAGTGTTCACTGCAGGAACAAGCCTGGAGAATGCCTTGTCTCTTTAATTAAAATACAGTCTAAATATGCCTAATTTTGTTTGTCACATTAAATAAATTTTGGTTTTAAGAATTTCCCCCCTTTATATCCAGCCCATCTGTTAAATGTATTATCCAACACTTTCCAATGCCTACTTTCATCTGATGCAACACATACATTGGGAAGGAGGAGGGCTAACTTCCACATGGCAGCATTTCGTTACTGTTTACTGTTGGAGTAAAAGCTGTTCCTGTGAATTAATATGCATGTTGCATAGCTTATTTGGGTATAATATGTTCACGTTTTCTTTAAAAAATATTGTAGAGAATTAAGACAAATACCTTTTCACAGCAAGAGTCCATGCTACAATGGGTGTCAAATATGAGGATGGAAGGGCATCTGCTTGGTGGTCCATTTTCAATGCATTCCTCCAATTGTGGTAGTTTTGAGAGCCAGTGATGGTTA